GCCTGGGCGCCTGGTTCCTGCTTACTCAGGGAGGGACCTTCACCTCAGTGAGGACCTCCGTGCGTCTCCCCGCAAGCCTAGGTCGTCTCCCCGCAAGCCTAGGTCGCAGGCGCGGGGACCTGGGCAGCCGCGATCCCGGTCTGCACTTGCTTTTCAAGCGTGCCAGGCGCGCCGCGTTTCCCGCGCAGGCTTACCGGCAGCCCGGGCTGTGTGCGCGTCTCCCGGGGTCTTTGTTCTTCTCTAATGGCTCCCAGAGCCGTTCGCTCACCGCCGCGGCGGATCCTGCAGGGTTCGCCTCAGCTCCCGTTCACGGGGTGTGGTGGCTGCAATAGTTCCTTTCCGCTCACAGTCCCGCTTGCTGCGTTGTTTGTTCTTGTTGGCCGTTTTGGTTTGTTGTTTCCTCCTCTCTGCCGGTCGGAGAGTGCCGCCTCTGTGGGCGGGGGAGGGGAGCAGGGTTCTGCGCTTCCCTCCCTTCTAGTCCTCTTTTATGGCCACTTTCTTCTTCGGGCAGTTCGCTGGCGTCACCCGTTTATCTTCCGTGTCCCAGTTCTCACTGGGACCTGCCGCTTTTCCTCCCTATTAACTTTTTTTAATGGGAGATCTTACTCGCAGCGTCTCCTCGCCGCCATGTTGCTCCGCCCCCCTTATACCAAACATCTTGAGAGACAAGATTTCTATGGAAGGAAGCTCTAACTATGAAAGGAAAGCAAAGAATCAGGTAAAAGGAAGCCCAATTTCAAATGAGGATTCAATTTTTTTCATTGTTGCCTCCCTGCTTTCTAGGTCTCTGCTCACTATAGAAAGACCCCCTGTATAAAGAAGCATGACCCCACTATGTTGCTATCAATTCCTACCCCCTACTTTGTGTTTTTTTTTCCTTCATAGTACTATGCACACAGATTATTTGTAAATACTGAGGCAAGGGGAGTCAGTATTTCCCTTCCCATCAGTGGTATGTCAGCATCATGAGGATGGGATTTTTTTCCTCTTTCTAAGGAATTTTACTTTCTAATTGGATTTTCAGAAACATATTGAAAGATTAGAAAGAAGGAACTGAGGATGGGGTTAGGGTAGTACAATAGTGAGTAATCAATGCAGCAAAGTCCAAAGGAAACATGGCGGGGGGGTGGGGGGAGGTGTGAGATAAGACACAGATTCCCCTCTGAAAGAATCTCTAATCTCATAAGGAAGATCACACAAACACACATCAAGATATTTAAAAAATATATTTTAACAGCAAACTTAGAATATACAGAATTCAATCAGTATGAACAACAAAAATAAAGATTAGACAGCTTTCATATTATCTTCTGAGAACAGTAAAAATATTAGCCAGAATTCTAGAAGAAAGTAGTAGTGCTGCTTGACTTCAGCCTACTATGAGTGAGAAAGTACTCCAGAGACACAAATGTCTAGTTGTTTAAATTGAGAGTCAGAGGCCTCCCTGGTGGCGCAAGGGGTTAAGCACCGCACTATGAAGCAATCTGTAGCCTCTACAGCATGAGTTGGATCCCTGGCAGCCAGGGAGCAACCCACATGGCACAGCAGACCTCTCCTGACTTGCCCGCTGCTCCCCTCAGCAGTGTATTTCAGTCAATCCACCTGTTCTGCTCCCCATTCTGTCTCTGGGGAATCCTCTCACCCCCCACACCTCTGGCCTGTACCCCAGCTTTTGTATGCATAAATAAATCTTTAAAAAAAAAATTGAGAGTCAGGTGGAGAACTCTGATTCCCCAAACCTTATGATTATGGAATTCAATGTTAAGTCTTTGTGAAGGCCTAAAATGCAGCCCGAGTAAAAATCCTGGGGTATGACGCTGAGACTAGTAGGAGTTATCTAATCATTTCAAAGTAAAATTAAATACACATGAACATAGGGGCAAAGGGTGAAATGAGAAGTATTGATAAGGAGACAGCCAGAGACTTCCTTTAAAAATTAGCTGAGATCATTAAAGAGCAGGATGTGCTCATATATGGTGCCAGTAAAAAGAAGGAAAAAAAAAATAATGTAGATAAGACGGCTGCTTTGGGGAAAAAATGACTTAAAGACTTGAGAATTCAATGTCTGCATTTAAACCTGCTAAGGACAGACTAAGCCTGCTGCTCAAGTCTAATGCACCCTTGCCTTAAACTGAAACCCATACTTTTCCATTATTTTAGATTCCAGGATACTGAAGGACCTTGTCAAGGATACTAACTTGGAAACAGCCCAAACCTTAGTTGTGAAATGCTGGGTAAAGGCTGGTGTAAAAATTTTCCCCTTCTGCAATTGAGATTTTAATTTTTAGGGTAGTAGGAAATCCTTGAATGTTTTCAGAGGAAAGTGACATAAAGCAGTTTTGCAGGAAGCTCAAATACATCAATGATCAACATAATAAATAAGAGGTGGGGAAATGGGCATATCAAAAAAAATTAACATCCAGTTATAACAAGTCAAGCAATAAAGATCCATCATGGCAGAAGAACTGGGGCAAAGGGAGATTATTGATCTTGGTATATAGTTATATTTGAAAATCAAGGACAAGAAAGGCACCATGGGAATGAAATAGTAACATTTAAGGGTATTATAATGAATCAGAAAATTTCATTTTGGGGTGATGATGGATAGAAGATGGATTTTGGTTAGAGGTTAAATAAAAGGGGTAAGAAGATACGCATATGGGAATGTTCCCAGGTCATTAGGCTGAATCCTAAGGAAGAACATGAGTCATCTACATCAGTGATTCTCAATTGCGGTCAATTTAGCCCCTTGGTGACATTTACTGGTATCTGGAAACACTTTTGGATGTCACAACTGGGAGGATAGTGTGACTGAATTCTAGTATTTAGAGGTCAGGGATGCTTTAAAACATCCTCAAGCTATAGAACAACCCCCTACAGCAAAGAATTTCAACAATTATCAGGCTCCAAATGTCAATAGCACTACGCTTGAGAAACTGTGCTCAGTATGTCATAGTACAATGGGGACATCTTGTCCAAGCAGTAACTTTGTTTTCATGTTTAATTTATAAGGTAAAAAAAAATAGTCTCAAACATGTATTGAGTCTTGCTCTATTTCAGGCACTGTTCTCACATTACATGGTTTATCTTTCAAATGCTGTATTACATTTAGCTTCATTTAACAGATTAGGAAACTGACCCACTGAAAAGATAAGCTGCATGATAAAAGCCACAAAGTTTGCAAATTTGGGGGCACAGATTGCAATCAGAAAGCCCATTTCTAAAACAGTATGCTAACTACTAACTGTGATGCTAAGCCTTGAAGCGTATAGTGATTATTGGTATGGTGCACTTAAGCCCCATGGCAGATAAGTGAGAGACTATTACACAGAACAAAAACACTTCGCTCTCATCATTCTTCTCAAAAAAAAAACCAAATAAAAAAAAATCAATGCACTCTCTCAAATATTAGTAACATGTTCTTTCTGTGTCACTGAATATTCCGTTATGTCATGGACACATTTCAGAGTCCCTCCTACTGAGGGAGGATTTCAAATGGAGGAGGGATACCTGGTGAATTAAGAGCAGCTTCTTTTCTAGTTTTAGGATTTTGACATGTAAGTATTTTGACACATATTTTATCTAATTTGTGAGTATTAATAGTCAAATTTTCTTAATGATTTGTCACCATCTAAATTGAAACTGGAAAAAAGTCGACTCTATAATAACATGTATTTTCTTACTTTTCAGTCTGCTTTTTTGAATGCCAATGAAAGCTATAAAATTACAGCTAATGAGGTTAAGGGTGGATGTTCACATGGAAATGTCACTGTGATTCAGAGCATTGAAATATGTTTGTTGAAAGTTGCTGATTTAATAGAACATAAGCAAGAAAATAAGCATTTAATTCCTCCAGTTTGACTTGTGAGTCACCCTCTTTAAATATAAGTTATACAAACATTTCTCATTTTATCCAAGTAGATATTAAGTTTTAGTTCCATTTACTGTCCATTTGGGTGAGATCACAAAGATAAAATCATTTCAGAGTCACAGTGTGGGGGTAGAGGGATGAGAAGATTCACCAGAGAATGGGGACAGAACAGGCAGATTCACTGAAATACACTGCTGAGGGGAGCAGCGGGCAAGTTAGGAGAGGTCTGCCTTGTTATGTGGGTTGCTCCCCAGCCAGCCAGGGATCGAATTCACACTGCAAAGGCCGCAAAAAACCTCACAGGGCTGTGCTCAACCCCCTAAGCCACCAGATTTTTGAAACAGTGGACTCATTCTTCAAATGATACATTAATAAACATACCTACAATACGCAAAGATGGAATAGAAGAAGAAAAGTTCTGAAGCCAGAATGAGACTTGGGGGTGAAGGAGTTTGGTGGTTGTGGTTTGGAAAACTGGGGAGGGGGAATCCAGATGCCACCCATTTGGCATCATTACTTAAGCACCGTTTGGAGCTCCATAGAATATAATGGCAAAAGGATTGTGCAATGTATTTTAGGGTGATTTAAATAATAAAATTACTATAACCATCTTTAAATTGTGTTAAGTATAGCAGAGTTGTTCTTATAAGAGATACTTTAATTATATTCTGCCTTAAAATGTGATATTACACCACATACATATACAGATCACTAAGTATTACATCTTATATCATGTGTTAAACTTGAATATTTTTATTCTCAGGTGAGGTACAGTATCCTGAGGCACTAAATTCCTGTCTGCCTGTGGCTTGTATTTTATCTCTTGACCACTTGTCAAAAATGTAAATTTAGATTTTACTTTAAAACAATTAAAAATATATATAATGGGCTTTTAAATATAGTTCTCTAACACAACACTTAATTTAAGATAGACAATTTTGCACTTTAATGTAACTTGAAATTATTTTTGAGCAATGATTTATTTCTTTTGATTGCTCTCTTATTTTCTGATAAACAAAGTAATGGCAATAAATCTTGATCTTGTCTTTGGTCTAGATATTTAGTAGCTATGTATTTGTTTTCTTTGATAGAGACACACATTAATATTTAAAACCATTTCCCTTTGCAGCATCTCCCAGATGGCTCTGTGCCTAGTGCACATGTCGAATTTTATCTTTTACCATATCCCAGTGAAGTTCGTAGGAGGAAAACAAAATCTGTTCCAAAATGTACTGACCCCACTTACAATGAAATTGTAAGTATGATTCATCTTTTGTCCAGTCGTTTTGTATTTTTCTTACCATTTCTCAACTTAACAACCAAATATGGAAAATTTGCAGTAATTGGCAGCATTATTCCATAAAAGGGAAGACATTTCCTGAAATAACCACTGTATGCTGGTCACTTTTCTAGCTGCTATGGGAACTGGAAAATACAGATATTGCTTTCAAAGCACTTATGAACCAATTTTCAAATAGTGTCTGTCTTCCAGACCAAGACTATATGGGGTCTGTTTCATATACTAATATTATTTCTGACTTCATCATATTTTCCCCCACCTTTCTGTCTTTTACCTAGTTTTCCTTGTCTAATAAATATCTCATAGTATAGCCAGTGTGTGACAATAAATTTTCATAAAAACTCCTTTGAAAAGCAAAAAAAAGAACAAAATACAAATTAAATTTATGTCATCTCTAGCTCTCAGATTCATTTGTATTATACAATTTGAAGATCCAATTCCCTACTTCTTCCTAAGGCAAAGCCCTACATTGACTATTGTAATTCCATCTTTTCCTACCTACCTTTCTCCTCTGTACCTTGCTCAGCTTATAGTTTTCTGTCCTTAAAGCTATATTTACCTGGATTCTATACTCAGAAATCTTAAAACAAAAATAAATCTCCCCAACTTAGCCTCCTAAAGCATCCAGATTTTCTTTCCCCCTCTGTTACTTTCAAAATTTTGCAAAACTACACATTCCTTGCTCTACTCTCATTTCATAACTTCCTCTTCACCCTTTATCCTCCACCATGTGGATTCTGACATTTATTTATGCTGTGTATTTCAAGAAAGGCATTGCTAGACTCCTTGACTATAGTCAATAGGCTAAATCCAATGAGCCCTCAGGTGCTCCTTGTGCAGTTACCTGGTAGCACTGACTCTGACTGCAGGCACCTTTTTGTCTAGGCATTTACTTTTTTTTTTTTTTTTTGCTTCTGGAGTTTTCTCTTTTAAGGATAATTCAAGAAAGGTTTAATAGTGAGACTTTTTACAAACACATGGACAAGACATTAGGAAACCACAAAGACTGTGTGCAAATATGATGGGAGGAGGGCTGGCTCCTGTTTATGGCAGAGATGATAGCTCTTCTCTCTGGAATACCAGACTCAAGACCCTGTGGTTAGTGTGCTTTGCTTCATGAGAGTCATAGCAGTCCTAAGGGGTGCTAGAGGGGTAGTGCAGTCTTACATACTTTGTTCTTTCTACTGGGGACCCATCCTATGGGGAACAAGTATCGAGTTCTACTTTTTCTGAATTTTCTAACCACGGCTTCATTTTCTTTCACTGTGATTCTTCCTCTTAAGATATTGTTGTTTCTGGACCTTCCTAGTGGCCTAGGGGCTGAGTCTCAGCACTATCACCATTATGGCCTGAATTGGATCCCCAGCCAGGGAGCTAATCCACATAGCATAGCAGACCTCTTCTGTCTCGACCATTGCTCCCCTCAGCAGTGTATTTCAATAGATCTGCCGGTTCTGCTCCCCACTTTCTCTGGTGAATCCTCTCACCCCCACACATCTGGCCTATACCCCATTTTCTGTAGAAATGAGACAGATTTAATTCCAAAACACAAGACTGGAGCAGATAGGAAGCGGTTAAAATAGCTAAAATCACACCTCAAGCAAAGAAGTAGCAATAATATGTATTATTCTAATATGTATTATTAGCAAAAAAGTTCTTCAAAGCAATAAATAAATCTTAAAAAAAAAAGATATTGCTGTTTGCTGCAGTTCCATAATCTACTCTCATTGACTCTTGATAGACTCTCCCAAAAGAATTTTAAATAACCACAAATTTTCATTTATCATGCATATGTAGGTTGCCTCTGAATCTATGCTTTAAGTCCTGACTTCTCTCCTAAGCTGCTGACCTGCACTTTTGTCTGATTACTGAAAAGCTCCATTGGAATATCTCCTAGACACTTTTAAATCATCTTTCCTCCATTCATTGCCATCTCAACAGTTGTCTTCTAATAACACCTCTACCTTCCTCCCTCACCCAACTAATTGCCACATTTGTCACTTCTACTGCTGCGGCTTCCTATATCTTAAATCAATCATCTCTTTTCTATCCTATTGCTACTTCTTTGCTTGAGGTGTGATTTTAGCTATTTTAACAGCTTCCTATCTACTCCAGTCTTGTGTTTTGGAATTAAATCTGTCTCATTTCTACAGAAAATGTCTTTCAAAATTTTTCATATTCATATTTTTCATATCTCCTGTCAAATTTTTTTCAAGCATTCTTCTCTATCTACTGGATAATATTCAAAATCCTAAAAGTGGCATTCATAGCCCTTAAATTTGACTCAATCATTTTTCTAAGTTAACTCTTGGAGGGATAGCATTTTCAATAATTTTTTAAAAACAAGAGTTTGCTAGGCATGGACTGTGGTTTTGAAACAATTTTACATGTGTTCCCAGCATAAACAGATGATTTATTCACAAGTATAGTCTTTAAGGAGAATGTACTTCAGTGATTTCTAATCAGTGGACCTTGAATGTATGAGTGCCTAGAATTACTGCAAGTTATCAGAAAATTTATAGAGACAAAAAGCATTATAAAATAATCTCCATGCATGTGCATTCACTACTATTTTTCTAATAATACATATTAGAAATATATTAATACAATAATAGCTAAAAATACATATTAGAAATAATAATACATATTTCTAATACTATATATAGCTAAAATAAATAAAATGCAAATTTATTTAAACTCTTCTCTATTACAGCTGGCAATAAGGAAAATCATATGTCTCCTTACATTACAAATATTGAAGAATAGCATGGAGCTAGAAAAGTTTCTTTATACTGAAGTAGAAAGCTGGTATTCAAAAAGCATGGAAACTATGATATATTATTAGGAGGTATATATCTCTAGCTGTTGATGATAAATAATACAAAGTCAAATATAGTTCCTTGTTATATTAGATCTCTTTTCTTTATATATATTTATATATATATATATGCACATACATTTTACATACACACAATTACTTACAGAACTACCCCAATATTTAATTTCATGAATCTTTTTTAGAAGTAACTAAACTTTTAAAGAAAAAAGATAAGATAATGGTTGGAAAGATGGTTAAATTTAGAAAGCCATGAATAGAAAAATGACTATAAGATATATTTTTTTACCCATTATGCTTTGTCCTTCAATCAATGCAACAAAAAATATTTATAAGAAATGAAAAACAGGGGCCTCTCCGGTGGTACATCAGTTGAGCGCTGGGCTGCAAAGCTGCACACAGCCTCTGCAGCACTGGTTCGATCCCCAGCCAGTCGGTGAGGGTCCCACATGGTGTGCAGACTTCTGCCACGCCCACTGCTCCCCTCAGCAGTGTATTTTGTTGGTCTGTCTGTTCTGCTCCCTGCTCTGGCTCTGGTGAATTCTCTCACCCTCCCGTGCTTCTGACTGTACCCAGTGCTTGTATAAATAAATAAATCTTTAAAAAAAAAAAAATGCAAAAATAGTACACCATTTTAAACTTTGATTTTACTTTCTCTTGCCCCCATCTCCATGCAGAATTCCTCAATTCTTTCTGTGCAGCCTCAGCAACACCTTATAGTGATTTCTGGGGAGAAAGAAAGTTATCACATGACATCTGCCTTGTTTTAATTCCCCCTGCTTTGTTTCCCAAGTACTACTGCATCAACTACTCAGCACAGCTGGGATGTCTCAAACTGCCAAAGCATGCAATGTAATGAGAAAGGGAGAAAATGACCTTCTTCCCCTTTATATATAAATCTCTTAGAAGAATGCAAAGGGACTATACCACTGGATCACTAATGTCTTGCAAAGCTTTTCATGAAAATAGTTCTTTCCATTTTATTCATAGTCCTCTTTCTCCCTAATTCCCAGGCCTAAAAGAGCATGGATCAAGGCCACTACTAAGTGTCCCATTAGTATCCACCCTTCAGGTAACAAAAGCTTTCATACAGGACCAAGTTTATCAACTTGACACTTTACTAAGTTCCAACAAAAGTTCGCCAGCAGTCTCCCTGATAATCCTTTCATATACAAATAACAGTTGAAGCTATAGCTGGGGTCAAGGTGAGGTAGATAGGGTGTAAATGCTCACACCCTATAGCTTTTTAGAAGCAGAACTGGGATCTGACTCCAAAGCCATTTCTCTTTCCCAGTCTATCACCTTTGGCATCTGGTTAAAAAAAAAGTGGTGGTTTTTTTTTTTGTGTTTGTTTTAAATGATTCATTATAAATACAGATTCTATCTTGGAATTATCTTGTTATTGTCACCATATTTTTAAATTGTATTCCTTTCTTTAGATATTACCCTACTATAAAGTATAAAGGGAACAATAACTATTGCACATATACCTAGTGCTAAACTAGATAATCAAGAAGGGGATCTTCAAAAGAAAATAGGAATATTTTGTGTTTTATATGATATATATATGTATTAAAATATCTTACAGAATATGCATGATTATCTATTACAGAGCTAGGAATATGATACATTCAGTAAACAACAGCAATTGTTATCTGTATCACCCTCTCATTACATATTTGTAACGATGAAAATTCTATTTGTAAATGAAGACACTGAGACTGTGAGGTCAAATATTTAAAACAAGGTCACATAACTAGATTTCAAGTCCAGAATTGCCTGACGCCAAAACCCCTGTTGACCCCACTAAACTATGTTGTGTCATCCCTCCCTTTATCCACCCAGAGTTCTGTTCTCACTTGTTTTGAACTCTCCTTTTCATTGTCATGCCTCCTCTCTTCTCTTCCCACCAGCTCTAGATATTCTTCATATGATTGTTCTCCTATTACAGTCATTAAAATGCCCTCTATTTTAAACTGTGTGATCAAATAACACACAGCAATTACTTGCATGTAAGTTAATACATATTAATTACCTCAAGCAGCATTTTTCGTCTTGATGCAATAATGGCAAACTACAAATTCAATATTTGACAGAAGTTAATGAAGCCTTGGCACGT